ACACACACTGATACACAGGCACACTAAATCAAATACACAGACACACAGACTGACACACACATGCAGATGCACAAGCACACACTGACACACATAACATCTATGCACACAGATAACTGTGTGCATGTGTTATTTGTGTATATATGTGTTAAGACACACACAGATAATACACACACTCAAAGAACACATATCTTTAGCTGGCCCCCTGCTTCCATACCTTTTTGGTGCAGGAGGGTGGCTTCTGTAGGGTCCAATGGCCTTTAGCTGTGATGGGAGAGTCAAACTTCAAAGAGAGTCAAGCTTTAAACTGTTTTGCCTTCTTTTGGATCAACATAAACAAATGTGAGAAAGGCTGAACCTGATGAACACATGTCTCTTTTCAACCTACCGGTATGTAATTAATTCTACAAAGAACGTCCATCAGACTCTTCCCAATGGCAGATTGGTTTCCGTTGAAGTGAGTAAGGCTATGATAACATTTTTTTTTATGACCAGTTGCCTTTTGCCTTATGAATACAATATGGCAGTTTGAAATTCATAGGGATCCATTGAAATTGCATGGAATATTCCTCCTGACCAAGAGAGCCACTAGGGTAATAGGATTTATTCTGTGCTAGTTATAAACAAAAGAAATGTATTTGTCTTAACAGCACTGTACTTCATTATTAACATTTTGATATATTTATTTTAACAGGGACGCTGTGAAAAAATGTTTTACCATGTGCATATCATAAACACATATGAAGACAGCAATTTGGATTATGTTATCAGCCATCAAAAGTTTTCATCAAACTTAATTATGTTACCAGCCATCTTCACTTTTAATTTTTTATAAACTGGTTCATTTATTATTTTTTTAAATCTGATCAGCAGTTTTTTTCTTTGTTTTAATTTCTAGCTAAGATGAATATATGTATTCATAATAATATGGAAAACATGTATTTCTTTCTCTCAGTGATGCCAAGAGGAAACCAATACAACTTCTGAAATAATATTGACATTATTATGAGTATATATTGGAGTTTAAAAATTGTGTTACAGTACCAAGGTGGAAAACTCTGACAAAAATAACCATAACTAATGGCTTGTCACATATCATTCCTACTTCCTCTTCCTAATCACATGCACACTCTCCTTTCAGCTGTGGGCCCTGCTTCTCTTCTTTCCTTCTCCTACTGCTTAGTTCTTAGATACTCTTACTGTTGCTAAAAAGTAGAAATTGCTTTGGTATGCCCTCTGTCCTTTCTACTTCAATGTATTGGGTTTGTTGAATGCAGACGATTGTCACAACTTAAGCTGAACTGTACCATTTCTACTTTACTTTTCTACTTGTACTTTTGTACTTCTATCATACTTAAAATGTTTATATAAATAAAGAAAATGGTGATTACAGATAAATGTATTGTAGCTTAGCTAGATTAAAAAATTAAAGTTTATTTAAATCTTTTATCTTGTTACTTGAGTTTGCATCGTGTAAGTTACTGACCAGGAATATATCACTACATCATGCAAAACTGTTCCCTAAAAACCAGAGATGTACCAGTAAGTACAAAACCACAGAAACTGGCTTGGTACTTGCCAAATCTACATCTAAATCTGCAGCTGCAAAATAGTAATATGTATAAAAAAACAGAGAATGAGTGTGCAAAGAATGTGTATAAAAAAACAAACAACCCAGTTAAAAATAAACATAAAATACTCTGATGTGACAAATCCATTTGTGCAAAGAGTGAATATACACAAAAATGCATTCCACCATGCAGACATTCAGATGTCAGAGTCCATTGGTTAAATGACATTTGAGTCACATTTAAAACAAAATGAAAAACAAATCAATGGCTACTGTTTTAAGATAAATAAAAGCAACAAGTATGCACTTACTAATCTGTAAGTGTTTAACCCCTTAATGACACAGCTTCAAAAGCTTGTCTTACCCTTAAGGACACAAGCCATTTTTGCATTTATTGCGGTTTGTGTTGAAACGCAATTTGCATCTTTGTCATTTATTGCACCAACACATATTATATACCGTTTTTCAGAGGACAAACAGGGCTTTAATTTTATGTCACATATACATAGATACATTATCATTAATTATAAAAAAAAAAGCCCAAAAATGAAAAAAAAAAATAAAATAACATTTTTTCACAGTTTTGGCAATAATAGCGTGTACATAATATGTCCAACTTAGAAAATATAATTCAAAATAAATTCATTTATGTGTCTTGATTTATAGAGTACATAATATGTATAGGAGTTCAGCTTATTTTGAAAGTTACAGGTTACAAAATACAAGGACTAAAATAAAATTTTTAATGTGAAACAATTTTAGAAGTCGCTATGTTTGTCTTGTAGGTTTAGTAGCCACCACAGAAAACAAAATTGCCACACAAAAGTATTTATTTATATAAAGTAGACATCACGGGCCATTTACCTAAGGTTAATTTGACACTTTATGTAACAATTTCCTCGCCAATCTCTTTTTTTTTGGCATATACACATATAACAAGCAGTGGCGTACATACCAGGGTCGCAGGGGTCGTGACCGGGCCCGGCCCACCAGGGGGCCCGGCCGCCCCTGCGACCCGGTATGTACACACTGGGCCAGCCTCTTCTCCAGAGGGGGCCCAGGAGCCGGCCACCTCAGGGCCCCCCGAGGATGGCCCTGCTGACACCCGGACGGATACCGGAGCCGGAAGATGACGTCACCCTCAGGGCACTATAGTGCCAGGAAAATGAGTATGTTTTCCTGGCATTATAGTGGTCCTTTAAGTGTGTGTGCATACCGCGGTCGCAGGGTCGCAGCCCTGCAACCCCTGCGACCAGGTGCCCGCCGCCATGTATTGCGGCCCTGACCCGCGCCGAGTAAGCGCGGGGGGGGGCACGGATCAATTTTTGCACCGGGGCCCCATGGGTCATGTGTACGCCACTGATGTGTACGGGGCCCCATGGGTCAAGTGTAATGGTAATAAGTGAGTTTGTGCTGTATATTTTGTAAACCTTCATGTTGGTTCATATGTCAGCTGAGTACAGCAATAACCCCCGTATGTACCTTTTCCAGGTATATGTGGACATTGAAGGGGCACATTTGAGACACAGCCATTCCAGTTTTTTTTCAAACTTTGAATTTTTTACGTTGTGTCCATGTCCCATGTTAGAGTATTTTACCAGGCTATATAATCCAACTACCCAATAAAGGCATACCATTTCTTAAGGAAGACATCCCAGGGTATTTGAAAAGGCATATTTTGAACCTTAGCGTGGGATAATTATTCCGCTAGCTTGTACCAAGTGTAGTGGTAATAAGCATTTTTTCTGCCTTTTTGAAACACAAAGTGGGTTTGCACAGTATATTTTGCAAACCTTATGTGTGCTACGACTGTATAATACTTTATATGTTGCTCAGCTATGTCGTATGAGTACAGCAATACCCCCGTATGTACCTTTGCCACGTATATGTGGATGTTGAAGGGGCACCTTTGAGACGCAGCCATTCAGTTTTTTTCTAACTTTGAAGTTTTACGCTGGGTCCATGTTCCATTTTGTAGTAGATTAGCTGGCTGATTATTCAAACTTCCCCACAAACACATACTATTTATTAAAGAACACAACACGGGATAATTCAAAAGGCATATTTTGAACCTTAGCGTGGGATAATTTTTTCACTAGTATGTTCCAAATGTAGTCATAATGAGCATTTTTTAATGTATTTTTTTTTACTTTTTAAAACTAATTTCTAAACTTTTTTACTTATTAAATGTTTTAAACTTTCACTTTTTTACACTTTTAAAACTTTTTATAAACTTTTTTTATAAACCATTAACCACTAACTAGCAGTAAGCCGCACTAACGGTAAATTCCCCACTTTCCAATAACTCCCACCCACCCCAGCCAGCAAAATATATAATTTTTAAATATTTAAATTAATTAAATAAATTAAACCCTTGAGGGTTAAAAAAGAAAAAAAAGTTAATCCTCTGGGGTTAAAAAATAATTAGATCACAGTATAATACTGTGATCTGTATTTTGATCACTGTAGGCAGTGATCAACTGGCAGGGAATGGGTTAATTTTTATTTGGACTTGGTAAAGGGTGGGAGGTATTTTTTCTTAACTTAAACGTTATTAAAACTTTTTTGAAAACTTTTAAAAAAACTTTTTAAAGCTTATTTTAAAACTATTTTTAATGTTAACCCCTAGCTAGCCTAACACCCAACCCCCCACTAACTTCCACCCACCCCAGCTAGCTAAATATATAATTTTAAAATATTTCAAATTAATTAAAAAATAAATTTAAACCCTGAGAGTTAACAAAAAAAAATTAACCTTCAGGGGTTAAAAAAATAAATAAATAAATATGACATTAAAGTGTAGTCCCTGCCAATTGATCACTGTAGTCCGTGATCATTTGGCAGGGAAGGGGTTAATTTTATTAAAGCAGGGGAAAGGTGAGTGGGATTTAACTTTAATTTTAAAAAAGGAAGAGCAGAGAGCAGGGAGGTGGATCGTGAGTACCTGCAGCACATGTTCTCGCTCTGACAGCCTGTCAGAGCGATCAATGCTGCAGGGGCAGTGGTCTTCCTTGAATACAGAGGCAGACGAGGTGAGAGTTAACCCCGCGGGTCCTTAACTCAAGGACAAGCTTGACGGAAATTTCCGCCTTTGGTCGGAAGGGGGTTAACTTCATAAGTACACACTTCATAAGTACACATTTCCAACCTCTCCTGTCTTTGTGACTTGCATTCTTGGGTCTCACTATTTCATACTGGTTTCCAATGGGAAGGGAAAATATCATGCTAATGATCAAAAGTCTGTCCTTAATTAAATTTTTTAGCTTAAATCAAAAGGAAATTCTTTATAGCATACATGCATCCCCATGAAATAAATTAAACGCCACAAACAATAAAAAAAACACATTATTTTGGCAAAAAGGAATGGCCAAATTATACAATAAAATAGCTTTCATAAAGTGTCAAGAGAATTAAAAATTTCTATTGCAACACTCATCAAAATTGTGAATTACCAGTTCTAAATGCATATTCTTTAAACGGTTCAAGCTCTATGAAATTGTCAGGGATCCAAAAACATGGCACATTACTTAATAATAACTAGATCACCACCAATTAAATTGCTGGTGCCCAATTTCAGTAAGGATCCAACAAGAGATCAGTCAAAGAGTAATGGTCTCCTAAATTCTCTCTTGGTTCAAAAAAAGAACAAAAAGACATGCAACCCTCTCATAAAAATAAAAAATGTGTTGGATACGACCACGATTAAATGTGAAACTAAGCACTAATGTGGTAAAAAGAAAATACAAATAACTCGAGTAACTAAATGATTTGATAGAGCTTTCATATAAGTTGGAACCCGAGAAAGCCAAACATTCTAACTCTTTCTAATTCTAACACATCATCTTCAAAGAGGAACATGCCCAAGTCACCAAAGGAGGAACCTACTGTTTACACAATCTGAGTTTTCTTTGTAAGACTTGGTTTTAATGTACAACGTTTTAATTTACCCCTTCACTACCAATTGATTTGCATAAAAACTAAACAAAAACTAAAAAATAGCAATTTGGGTGTCATGGAAAGCCATGTTTAAATGTATTTTTTGTTTCAGTACACGTTTAGTATATTATTTATAGGACAAACAAATTGGTTGGAAAGAAAAACTATTAAAAACCATGTACCAAATAATTAAGTTACAGATAATGAAACTGTAAATAAATATACATTTATTGTGTAATTATTATATATGTTGTCACATTTTATGATGTTGCCTATAACATATCGCCCTTACCCTGCAACTATGTTGCCTTTTTCAACACACACTACTGTATATACTCACCCTGCTAGATACACGCTCTCATGCGCACACACACATATACACAGATATATCAGACACAGGGCCGCCATCAGGGGGTGACAACCATGATGGTTGTCACGGCCCAGCGGTCCTGGGGGGCCCGGACTGCACAGGTAATCCTCTGCATGCCCGGACCCCCAGCCCTTTAATCTGCATATATACATAGCGAGTACCGTAAGAGGCAGGGAGGGGGGAATACATCTTTATTATTATTATTATTATTATTATTATCATTATTATAAAAATTCAATATAAAAAAACAACCTCCCAGCAACATTTGTCACACATCCACCACACACATACATCAAACAGACAAACTCCATCCACTACACAACCATACACATCATCCACTACACAACCACACACATCATCCACTACATAAACACACAAAATGCATCCACTACCCAACCATACACATCATCCACTACACAACCACACACATCATCCACTACATAAACACAAAATGCATCCACTACACAACCATACACATCATCCACTACACAACCACACTCATCATCCACTACATAAACACACAAAATGCATCCACTACCCAACCATACACATCATCCACTACACAACCACACACATAATCCACTACATAAACACAAAATGCATCCACTACACAACCATACACATCATCCACTACACAACCACACACATCATCCACTACATAAACACACAAAATGCATCCACTACACAACCACACACGTCATCCACCACATAAACACACATCATCCACTACATAAACACACCATAAACCACATAAACACACAAACTGCATCCACTACACACACCCACTCTGCATTCACTATACTCACACTACATCCACTACACATACACTCTGCAGTCACTATATACACACTACTTCCACTACACAAACACACACACTGCATTTACTATACACACAAACACTATATCCACTACACAAACACACACTCTGCATTTATTATACACAAAAACACTATATCCACTACACAGACACACTGTATTCACTATACACACACACACACACACTACATCCACTACACAAACACAAACCCTGCATTAACTATACAGACACACTACATCCACTACACAAACACGCAATCTGCATTCACTATTCACATACTACATCCAGTACACAAACACACACACTGCATTCACTATGCACACAATACATCCACTATAAACACACACTCTGTCCACTACACAAACATACAATCTGAATCCACTATAAACAGCGTATCCACTTTACTCACACACTTTGTATCAACTACACACATTCTATAGCCACTATACACACACAAACAAATTCAGTACACACACACACTTCATCCTTGTGGGTGGACTTAAGATGGGGGCGGGTTATGTGGGCAGACTTGGGGCAGGTCATGTGGATTGACTTGGGGGGGCCCAGATGGTGGGCTGTGTCAGGGGCCCCAAATTTATGGTGGCAACCCTGATCAGACACACTCATACTCAGTGACACACACTGATAGGCAATGTCAGAGAATTATATATATATATACAATGACAAATGCCAAAATATTCTGAAAGAAACAGTCACGCATATACATGCTGACAGGAACACTCTCACACACATATATACACTTTCTTCCTGCAGCTCACCATTGCCCCTCTGTGACTGTCCTGCTCTGTGTGAGTGTCGGTGGAATAGTATTTCTCCTCTTACTTTCAGCCTTGCACTCTGTGATTGAAGATGGCTGTCCCTTAGTGTCTGCCTGGCTGATGCTCTGCTGTGTTCACTAGGAGCACAGAGGATGTGAGGCAAACACAGGGGAGAATGAGCTGCTGACCTTCCCCTCACTGGACAGCAGGTTTATCAGCCGGGCTGCCATTAGATGTTTTGGGGGCGCCAGGGCCCACTTCTAAGTCTGCCCACAGGGCCCACCCCTGACTCCATGTATGTGAATGTTTGTGTTTAAATTCAGGCATGCATTTGTAGTGTATACACCAAGCATGTCAAACTCTCGGCCCACGGGCCGCATGCGGCCCCCAAGGACCATCTTTGCGGCCCAGCGAGCCGCGAGCGCATGCTCAGTGTAATAGCAGAGTAGGCACCTGTTTTCCCCATATTTCAGGTGCCTACTCTGCTAACACTTACCTGGCCGGGGAGGAAGCAGTATGCTGGCGGTCAGCGAGGGAGCTCAGTGTTCGTGCTCTTCACTGCTCCCTTGCGCACGCTGACTGAAGTGAAGCCGCGAGCCGGAATATGACGTCATATTCCGGCACCTGGCATCACTAAACAGCACGCGGGAGCAGTGAGGAACAGGAAGGACCCCAGGGAGATACCCCCTATCGGCTCCATAAGGTAGGGAGCAATAAGGTGTGAGTCTGTGTGTGTCTGTCTGTCAGTGAGTATGTGTGTCTGTGTCAGTGAGTGTGTCTGTGTCAGTGAGTATGTGTGTCTGTCAGCAAGTGTGTCTCTGTCAATGAGTATATGTGTGTCTTTCAGCGTGTGTGTGTGTGTGTGTGTCTGTCAGCGAGTATGTGTGCGTGTTTGTCAGTGAGTATGTGTGTGTATCTGTCTGTGAGTATGTGGGTGTGTCTGTCTGTGAGTATGTTGGTGTGTCTGTCAGTGAGTATGTGTGTGACTGTCTGTGAGTATGTGGGTATGTCTGTCTGTGAGTATGTGTGTGTATGTCTTTCAGTGTGTCTGTATGTGTGTGTGTGTGTCTGTCTGTTAGTAAGTATGTGTGTGTGTGTGTGTGTGTGCGGCCCACATACACTTAAACCTTGATTATGTGGCCCGTGCCACACTTTGAGTTTGACATGCTTGGTATACACTGGCACACACACTGACATACATGCAAATACACTTCACATGTGTCAGAGCCATGACTCTTATAACCATATTTCTCATGGTCTGGTGACCATATTGGTTTATATTACTAATGATGCAAAATGTAAAACTATATTGATAAAATGGAAATCTTTGTAATCTACTGTGTTATATGCAGTGTAATTGGATAACATACACAGTGTGTGTCTGTATGTGTGTGTCTGCCTGTGAGTATGTGTGTGACTGTCTGTCAGTGTGTGTGTGTGTGTGTGTGTGTGTCTGTCAGTGTGTGTGTGTGTGTCTGTCAGTATGTGTATGTGTGTGCGGCCCACATACACTTAAACCTTGTTCATGTGGCCTTTGCCACACTGTAATTTACTGCGTTATATGCAGTGTAATTGGATAACATCTAATTCAAAATATTACATGCATCTTCCAATTTACATATTCTAAATTCCCAAGAACATGGACTTTGATGCAGCGTCATCTGTTGGTTAAAGCCTAGGTACATACATTAACACAATGATTTCCATATATTTTCACATTTTGTGAAAATCATGTAGAATGCTCCAGGATTTAGGTTTTTCAGGTTTCTCCTGATGATCCCCTGTGTGACAGTTATATATTATATTGTATGTCATTGTTGCCTTTATGCTTCATGTACTGTTTTCAATATTTCACAATAAGTTTAATGTAGCATAGTTAAAGGTAGGCAACTTATGGGAGGTAGGCCCTTAGTGTACATATACTAGTGACGATACGGAGGGGTTAAATAACCTATTTTATCCTAAAAGTGCTCTCCTCTTTATTTGAGGTGGATGTTACTGTAACACAGAGGAGAGATCTGTGGATCACTGCTGAAGATATCATGGAGGATCTGTTGCTTTTTATTTTAGGAGATATTCGAATGGGTCATTGTTCCTTGCTTTCATTACCATGTCAGACATTGCTTGTTAAGGTCTCACTGTGATCACAGATCAATAAAACTCCTTGCTCCATGGTTATTCAATTATTATGCTATCAGTTTGGGGTTGTAGTCTGGGATCATAGAATCACAGACAGAGGTGGAATCTGCACCTGCCTGGCCCTGGGACATTCAACTTGACCAGTCGTCTGAAAGGTAAGTTATAGCATTATAACATGGCACTAAGGTAAATTGTCTGGGTATCTAAGAAGGGTGCAGGTAAGCCAGTCACTTATTCTTGGAAACATGTTGAGCAATGCAAAATTTAGCACGTGTCAACAGCAAGGTTCTCCTGTTTGATCAAAGCAATTTAATATAACATTTAAGATGACTGGCATGATATCCTTTAATTGCATACATGTGCTTTTTCATTCATTATTAACCCAGAATAGAAATTGTTTAACATATAATTGCTTAAAGGGATTCTCCAGTGCCAGGAAAACATATTTGTTTTCCTGGCACTGCAGGACCCTGTAGGGCCCCTCTCCGTCCCACTTCCCATCCCAAGTTGCTGAAGAGGTAAAACCCCTTCAGTGACTTACCAGAGTACAGCACCGATGTCTCTCTGCTCTGGCCAGGCTCTGCCTACTCTCCTCCCCTGCTGGCCGTGGAGACCTAATGTGCATGCGCGGCAATGACCGCACATAGCGTGAGGACGTCCAGGGCCGTATAACAAGCTTTTTGTGTTCTAAGAACACAGAAATCCCTCTAGTTGCTGTCTGATAGAGAGCCACTAGAGGAGGACTTAACCCTGCAAGGTAAATATTGCAGTTTATGAAAACTGCAATAATTATATTTGCAGGGTTAAGGGTAGTAGGAGTTGGCACCCAGACCACTACAATGGGCAGAAGTGGTCTGGGTGCCTGGAGTATCCCTTTATAAACACCAAAGGAAATATGAAGATCCAAGGTCACAAAAGTCAGCAGCTATTTTGAATATAAAAAGTTTTTCAAATTCATAAAGCTTTGTCATATTGTAACGGTCTTTATTAAGCTGCTGTATATAATATGTTGATTCCTTATCTCACAGCCATTTTGAAAGATAAGAAATAACTAATATCAAAACTTCTTAACAAGAGCTCTTTTAAAACAAAGTGGTTATAAGATTTATTGGCCTTACATTGCATGTGTCAGAGCCATAACTCTTATAACCATATTTCTCATGGTCTTGTGGCCATATTGGTTTATATTACTAATGATGCAAAATGTTAAACTAAATTAATAAAATAGAAATCTTTGTAATTTACTGCTTTACTGATTTACTTTATATAGCTTGGTTGCTTCATGTAAGTGCTGCTTCTAAATGTGTGGTTGGAGATATTCTGGAGAGTTTTACAGAGGCTTCAACTGTCTAAGATTTTTGCTAAGAGTTTTCTTTTCTACTGTTACAGGTAAGATTCATCTGTAGGAAAAGTTTACTGATTGCACAAGGTTTGATTTCCTGTTGGTAATTATAAGGCATTTAATTTGATTAGTTAGCTACTTCCTATTGACTGCTGGTTAATTAGCTATTGTTTGCAAATAAGCATAGGCCTACCCAGGTGCTAAACATTCCTAGTGGGAGGTGATTTTAGGAGTTATATAAGGGTTGTTGTCATCAGTTTGGTTGCTTCATCTAAGTGTGTGGTTGGAGATATTCTGGAGAGTGCTGCTTCTAAGTGTGTAGTTGGAGATATTCTGGAGAGTGCTGTTTCTAAGTGTGTGGTTGGAGATATTCTGGAGAGTGCTGCTTCTAAGTGTGTGGTTGGAGATATTCTCGAGAGTGCTGTTTCTAAGTGTGTGGTTGGAGATAACCTGGAGGTAATCTGAGGTATTCAGGAGGACAAAAATTTAAGATTTGTTTGATTTAAATTATTCACCTTATTGGTTTCACATTCCACTTTTTGGAGATTTGGATGCTGTCTAATCTGTAGACAGTTCTCTATATTGCAGCAGGAGATTGTATTTTTGCAGTCTGATATTTGTAAATTATCTGGTAAACAAACTCAGGCTGGAACTGCTGCAGAGCCACTGCCGCAGAGATGTACTAGGAATGGCAGATGGATTACTGTAGGATCTGGTAGACTTAGAGTTGTGGATAAAAGGCATATTGCACAGCCTGTTGCTCTACATAATTCCTTTTCTGCACTTTCAGAGTGTAATGGTATTATGGAGACATTCCCAGGCACCAGGTGTAGTGGTGTTAAGGAGACAGTGACTGAGGGTAGTGGTGTTGTGGAGACAGGCTCAGGCACTGAGAGTAGTGGTGTTGTGGAGACAGGCTCAGGCACTGAGGGTAGTGGTGTTGTGGAGACAGGCTTGGAGACTATGGTGAGGCCTAATAGAAAGCAGTTGTTGTTGGGGATTCCATCATAAGAGGTGTGGAGATGGACAATCGTGGTCTTGTGAGATGTCTTCCCGGAGCTATTGCTCACAGAGACAGGAGACGTATTTGTAATATTGTTAAGCGAGCAAAGCAGGAAGGGGAATTGGATGTACTTCTCCATCTAGGGACAAATCACTTTTAAGGAAGGTTTTAGTGTTTAGGAAGGTTAAGGAAGTTTTTAGTGTTTTTGCCAATGATATATGGCAGGTTGCTTCAACACTGTCATTCTCTGAAGTTCTGCCTGTGCATAACACTCAGAACGACAGGCAGATGCGTATTAGGGAAACTTGTGGCTTGGTGAATGGTGTTGGGAGCAAGGATTTTGCTTCATTTCCCATGGTAGTTCTGTTTGGAATGGAAATAAACTGTACAAAAAAGATGGTTTGCATCTTTCTCAAAAGGGAACAAATGTTCTCAGTGAGCAGTTCAGAGGTTTTGCTATGATGTATTTAACCCCTTAAGGACTGGACTGTTTTTGCGATGTTGTACATTTGCGACCAGGCATATTTTTACACTTTTGTGGTGTTTGTGTTTGGCTGGAATTTTCCGCTCTCTCATTTACTGTTCCCATATAAATTATATATTGTTTTTTTCAGGACAAAAGGGGCTTTCTTTACATACCATTATTTATATAATCTCATGTATTTTAATTTAAAAAAAATAAAAAAATATGATGAAAAATTAAAAAAAAAACATGTTTTTTGACTTTTACTTGAAAAACCTTTTACTCATCTACAAAAGCGAATGAAAGAAACTGCTAAATAGATTCAAAATTTTGTCCTGAGTTTAAAAATACCCCGTGTTTACATGCTTTTTTGCTTTTTTTTGCATGTTGGGCTATAGGTACAAGTAGGATATTGCGGTTTCAAAACATAAATTTTTAAAATTTATCACTAGTGACATTGTAACACTATTATCTGTCATAAATCTCTGAATAACACCCCACATGTACATATTTTTTTTAAAGTAGACAACCCAGGGTATTCAATATGGGGTATGTCCAGTCTTTTTTAGTAGCCACTTAGTCGAAAACACTGGCCAAAGTAAGCATTCATATTTGTTTGTGTGTGAAAAAAGTAAAAAAACTAAATTGAACGCTAATTTTGGCCAGTGTTTGTGACCAAGTGGTTACTAAAAAGACTGGACATACCCCATTTGCAATACCTTGGGTTGTCTTCTTTTGCAAATGGTATGCCATCATGGGGTAATTCTCATTCCTGGGCTACCATACGCTCTCAAAGGCAACGTAACCAACCTGGCCATTTTCAATGTAAAAATATTTGACCCATATATTTGACCTTGTAACTTTCAAAAATGCTATAAAACCTGTAAATGGGGGGTACTGTTTTACTCGGGAGACATCGCTGAACACAAATATTAGTGTTTAAAAACTGGAAAACGTATCACAACAATTATATCATCAGTAAAAGTGCTGTTTGTGTGTGAAAAATGCAAAAAAAGTAACTTTCACTGACAATATCATCGCTGTGATATGTTTTACTGTTTTGGATCACTAATATTTGTGTTCAGCGAAGTCTCCCGAGTAAAACAGTACCCCCCATGTACAGGTTTTAGGGTGTCGTAGAACGTTACAGGGTAAAATACAGTGCTAACAAATTCAATTCTCTGGAATTTCGGCCTGGGTTGGCAGGCAGGTCCCTCAAATTGCAATCAATAAAATTACTGAATTATGTAAAATATTACATAAATACGCACGTAGAATTTAAATATATATGCATATTTATATATTTGAAGTCTACGTGTATATTTATATAATTATTTATGTAATTTTGTATATGGACATATGTATATTTCTTATTATTTTTATTTATTTTTATATACATAGATATATACAAATTCATTCTAAGTGTATTTTGATATAAATATATATATATATTAATTTTAAAATACAGTTAGAATAAAATTTCATATAGATATATAATTTTTTTAAAATTTTTATTATTATTTAAAAAAAATTATTTAATTTAAATTACTTATTATTTATATTTTATAATAATATATATATACAATATATATAGTTATTATATATATTATATATATACGTGTGTAATTTAATTATAAGTGTATTTTTATATTAATATAAGTGCATATTAATATAAAAATACACTTAATATGACATTATATATATGATATATAGACATATAGACTGTTTTTGCGATGTTGTACATTTGCGACCAGGCATATTTTTACACTTTTGTGGTGTTTGTGTTTGGCTGGAATTTTCCGCTCTCTCATTTACTGTTCCCATACAAATTATATATTGTTTTTTTCAGGACAAAAGGGGCTTTCTTTACATACCATTATTTATATAATCTCATGTATTGTAATTTAAAAAAAATAAAAAAATATGATGAAAAATTGAAAAAAAAACTTTTTTGACTTTTACTTGAAAAATCTTTTACTCATCTACAAAAGCGAATGAAAAAAACTGCTAAATAGATTCAAAATTTAGAGTTTAAAAATACCCCGTGTTTACGTGCTTTTTTGCTTTTTTTTGCAATTATATATAATTTTTTTTATTTTTTATTAACACTAACTTTATTTTTTTTCTGATTTTACACTAGCAGGGAGACTGCCTGTCAGCACAGACAGTCCCCCTGCAGGCAGACACATGGACACCTACTGTGACCATGTGATCGCTGTGTTGAGCGATCACATGGCCCCAGGGGTCCTAATCCTCCATGGGGAGACTGTCTGGGCTGCAGGCAGTCTCCCCACAACCGGAGCAATGCTGATCACCGCCGGGGGAACGACGGCGATCAGGTAAGTAACGGAGACCGTTAGGACGGTTCAGGACCGTCATCGGTCTGCAAGGCAAAAATGCCGATGACGGTCCTGAACTGTCCTAGGTCGCGAAGGGGTTAAACTAGGAGGGGGGGGCAAAAGGGTGATAAAACATCAAGCCAATTGCCCCCCAAAACAAGGACAGAAGGTGCCTGTAGCAAGTGTGTTAAAAAATGATATGCTTAGAATCATGTCTACAAATGCTTGCAGTTTAGGGAATATGATCCATGAACTTGTGGCAATAATGGCAACTGATAATGTAGATTTAGTCACTGTTACTGAGACATGGTGTAATGAGAAAAATGACTGGGACATAGCAATACCAGGGTACTCTTTATATATAAAAATCATGGAAGGCAAGAAAGGGGGAGGGGTAACCCTGTATATGAAGGATAGCATAAAATCTAGCCTATTAAAAGTTAGTGAGGCAAACATAGAGTCCGTTTGGGTTACGTTAGAATTTGGTAATCACACAGTAACTCATGTAGGTGTGATTTATAGGCCCCCAGGACAAATAGAAGAGTTAGATAATCTACTAGTTGAGGAAATAGCTAAAATGACAATGAAGGGGGAAGTTATCATCATGGGTGACTTTAATCTTCCTGATGTGAATTGGAAAACAAAAATAGCTACTTATGCCAGGAGCACACATATTCTAAACTCTCTACTGGGATTGTCTCTAAAACAAGTCATCGAGGAGCCAACTCATAAAGAGGCCATACTAGATTTAGTGTTAACAAATGTAGATTTGGTTTCAGATATTACTGTAGGTGAAAGTTTAGGATCCAGCGATCACCGGTCGGTGTGGTTTCCATGAGTCATTTGTACTTTTTGTGAGTTATCAATATTACATACCTCCTCTGTTCTGAGCTTTCCCCTTCCCCCATCTCCACCCCCTTTGTTCTGAGCTAAAGCCCATCTCCTTTCTATCCTATCTACATTTTCTAGATTGCTTTAACCCTCCCCCCCAGTACTAGTTTAAAATCTCCTTCAACCTTCTAGCCATCCTATCCTCCAGCAAAGCAGTCCCTCTTCCGTTTAGGTGCAATCCATCACGACTATACAGGTTGTACCCAAGCACAAAATCGGCCCAGTGCTCTAAAAACCCCAAACCCTCTTTCCTGCACCAAGATTTCAGCCACGCATTGACTTCTCTAATCTCCCGCTGCCTTTCTGCTGTAGCGTGCAGCACAGGTAATATTTCTGAAAATATTACCTTGGAGGTCCTTTTCTTTAGCTTACTTCCTAGATCCCTGAGCTCATTCTTTAGGACCTTCCATTTTCCTCTGACTTTGTCATTGGTTCCAATATGGACCATGACAGCTCGGTCATCCCCAGCCCCTCCCAATAATCCCTCCACTCTGTCGGCAACATGCCGGACCCGAGCACCCGGGAGACAGCAACCTGTCCAGTTGAGTCGATCAGAGTGGCAGATTACCCTATCTACTCTCTTAATAATAGAGTCCCCTACCACCACAACCTGTCTAGACTTCCTTACCCTCTCAACCCTACCGTTCTAGAGGGGCTGTTCCCACAGCTGTTAGAAGGAACAGCTTCCTGCAGTACAGCTACTCCTGAGCTGATGCTCCATACATCTTCACTCAAACGGGCAAATCTGTACTAAAGGCTGCACTAGATCAGGACTAGCTAAACCTTTCCTCTTCCCTCCCCCTCTGCTTCCTCGCCCCACTGTTACCCAGCTATGTGCCTGCTCTCCAACTGTCTCATCTCTTCCCACTCCACTACCTGTTGTTATCTATTTAAAAATTTTTATTGAATGTGTTCATTATCATTTTTTTTCTTTATGTTTACTTTTATTATCCCCTGCTGTTCTTTTAAAATATTAGCAAGATATGTATTTATTCACTTTTTAAACTTAAGTTTGTTTACCATTAATATAATTGCCAGTAACATTAGATAGACTGCTTATTAAATATGCTAATATCTGGCACTGTCTTGGTGGCGCTGTGTTGTGGGGGGAGCGGCTATCGGGTGGAATGCATCCACTTCCAGGTGCGTTCCGCTCGCCGACTACGTTTCCCATAATGCATTGCCACCTAATGGGGGAAGCCCCGCCCTAGAGAATGGCCTGTTTTGGTAATCCAGTGGCCCTCCCGTGATCCTGATTTAATACAGTTATAACTAGTATTATAAATACAAATGTGGGTCAATCCAACTATAGGGAAATAAAAGATAACATAGTGCAACTTCATATGATACTTTTGTAATAGTAGTATGTGCCAAATGGGTCACTCACACTTTAACTGTATGAATAGGCCATATCAAAAATCCATGTGGCTCCCAGGCAATATTCTTATTCCAATATGTGATCTTCCAGGTCTCAATAACATAGAAAAATAGAATGCATCCAAAATGAAAAGTAGAAAGATGTGCACAAAGTAAAAAAATATTTATTACTTACACATAGGTAAGGATCAATCAGCATAAAAATTAATTAAAACTGTCCACCATCTGTCCAACGCGTTTCCTCCCACTCCAGGGACTTCCTCAGGGACTTTACAGTAATAATGACAGGTATGACAATGAATAAAAAAAACTTAGAGGGAAGTTATTCATATTTTTTATTCACCAAAGGCACTTGGTGTTTTATACTATATTGGTGAAATTCTAATGTCACAGAGTGATACAGTGAAAGAGTTTGCATTTTTCTCTATATTTGTATTCTTTCCTAATTTTTTCTTTCACTTAACACAGTTTTAAAATGGCTGTCAATTGCTTTACTAATATTCAAAAAGGTAGAAAAGCCAGATTTGAAAATATGTTCCATCAGGATATAGAAATTATACCTTTAAGGGGAGAGGATAATTTGTATTTTTCTAAATTGGAGAGTTTAATGAAAAAGGAAACTAGGAAATGGTGGGAGATTTCATATTTAGAAGGATATCTAAAGGAAGGGCTAATACCTATGGGATTAAGAGTAGAAAAAAAATCCAGCATTTGGGATAGAGAATGCGGAGTTTATGAAAAAATGGGATGGGGTGCTAGAAGATTGTTCCAATAACCTCATGAAACTTATCGTTGAATTTGAAAAACAAAATAGAAAAATAGTTGAGGAAGAAATAAATGTTCTAGAAACACAGGAGGGTCTGGAAAGAGATTCCACAGAATTTAAGGAGAGAACAATTAATTAGTGAAAGAGTAAAAGAATTAGAAGAAAAAATAGCTAATACAAAAAATAAGAAAACAATTAGAGATAGGGAAGATAAAAATAGAAAAACCTTTTCCACTATAAATAAAACAAAAATACAACAAACTAAACCCACTTACAGAAGGCCAAATAAAACGGAGAAATCCGGGCCATATGATCATCATCATGCCCCTAGTTCTATCCCATTTAGACATAGAAAATTCTCTTCGAATAAATCACCAATTAAAAATAGATTTCAAAATTACAGAAAAAGTAATTGGAGGGAGGAGGAAAGATCTTTACCTATAAGATCTAGGAATTTCCAGCAATCTCTCAAAATGCCCTATAATCAAGAAAAAAGATCAAAAACTGATGTTAAAGGACCACTCTAGGCACCCAGACCACTTCAGCTTAATGAAGTGGTCTGGGTGCCAGGTCCAGCTAGGGTTAACCCATTTTTTCATAAACATAGCAGTTTCAGAGAAACTGCTATGTTTATGAATGGGTTAAGCCTCCCCTATTTCCTCTAGCGGCTGTCAATGAGACTAGAGGCGCTTGCGTGCTTCTCACTGTGATTTTCACAGTGAGAGCTTGCCAGCGTCCATAGGAAAGCATTATGAATGCTTTCCTATGTGACCGGCTGAATGCGCGCGCAGCTCTTGCCAGCGTGCGCATTCAGCCGACGGGGAGGAGAAGAGGAGGATCGGAGGAGGAGAGCTCTCCGCCCAGCGCTGGAAAAAGGTAAGTTTTAACCCCTTTCCTCTCCCCAGAGCTGGGCGGGAGGGGGACCCTGAGGGTGGGGGCACCCTCAGGGCACTATAGTGCCAGGAAAACAAGTATGTTTTCCTGGCACTATAGTGGTCCTTTAACCCCACTAATAATCATTCACCCTCCAATAGGAAAACTTATGCTGAAGCAGCCAGCTCCTCTTATAGAAACACACAAGAAGTAGAAGAACGTTTTTTAGGGAGGGAGCTAGACCAAAAAGAAAGGCGAATCACACAATTTTTCAAACCTCAAGAGAAACCATGGGAGAACAGATTTTCTCCTCTGGAAGATCTCACAGAAACTCCACCCAAAAGGAAAAGGTCGGAGGAAATCTAGTGGAGGGAAGAAAACCACAGGAGAAGAAACTAGAGAAACAAGCAGGAATATATAATTTAACAGAAATTAAATTAACCCCAACAGATATACAGGCATTAAAAAAGGGTTTAAAATTTGCCCCAAATAAAAATATTAATCACTTTGACACTTATGTGGACCTCCAAAAATATATTAAAAGAATGACCCTTAAAAGTTTTTTTTCTCAAACAAGAAAGAGAAGACATTTCATTAACTTCAGATATAGATGTAACAAAAAAGAAAGAGTTCAAAAATAAATCTACTTTTTATCCAACACATCTAAAAGTTCCCCATTTAGAGACCTTTAATAATATGGTAATTGCAGACCTAGAACAACTAGAACTCAATTTGAATAAACAAAAGAAAAACTAATTCAATCTTAGTAGAGAGGAAGCTGATAGCATTAGGAAACTACAAGGCATGGAAGAAATTATCATCAAAGAGGCAGATAAGGGAGGAGCAATAGTGCTAATGAAAAAATATTATTATCTTAAGGAAGCCTGTAGAATATTGGGGGATAAAAATACATATATTCAATTAAAAAAAGATCCCACGGCAGATTTCAATTTTGAACTAGAATCCTTATTAAATTTTGCAACACAAAAAAAAACATTATTACTAAAGAGAATGCTCAATTACTTTTTAATAAATATCCAGTAATTCTGATTTTTATTTTTTGCCGAAATTACATACAAATTCTGTTGAACCCCCGGGAAGACCCATTATTAGTGGGATAAATTCAATAACTGCACACCTATCAGAATTTATAGACTATCATCTACAAAAATATGCCCAAGAAGCTCCCTCTTACATACGGGACTCATCCCATATTTTAGAAATTCTTGATAATCAACAATGGGACCAAAACAACATATGGTTTACGAAAGATGTGACATCTTTATACACCATTATCAAACATGAAGTGGGTCTGATAGCGGTTGAAAGAATCATGGGATAAGATATACACATGCCAAGTTCTTTAAAAAAAAAAAATTATTAAAAGTTATACATTTCATTCTCCATCATAATTATTTTTATTTCACTGAAGCTTTCCATCTTCAACAAACAGGTACAGTCATGGGGACCAGGTTTGCCCCCAGCTATGCCAACATTTACATGAGAGATTGGGAAGCCAACTCAATCTGGAGGGGGCATAGCTGGGTTGCAAACCTGGTCCTATGGAAACGTTTTATAGATGACGTTTTGTTAATTTGGAAGGGCACACAGCAAGAATTGGAAGAGTTCTTACAATATATAAATATTAACAATTACGGTTTGAAATTCACACATACGTATGATACAGATAGTATTAATTTTTTGGATATAACTTTTTTTGTTAATCAGTGCAAAATTCAATCTAAATGCTATTTCAAAGAAACGGAAGGAAATAGCTTTATACACAAAAAGAGTTGCCTTCATGATAATTGGCTCAATTCAATACCAAAAAGTCAACTTATTCGAATCAGGAGAAATTGTTCAAAAGATAGTGATTATTATGAACAGGCCAGTCATTTATCTAATAAATTGGTCTCTAAAAAATATGATAGAACTATTTTAAAACAAGAGGCATCCAGAATTGGAAAATTAAACAGAAGAGAATTATTAAATAAAAAAAAGAAGGACAAGGTACAAAAGGAAGTTTATAAATATTCCTTCATCACCCAATTTAATGCACAACATTATGAGATCAAGAAAATACTAAACAAACATTGGAATATTCTATTGAAGGATCCTATTTTGGGAAGAGTACTCCCAAGAAAGGCACCAGTAATTTTTAGAAAGGCAAAAAACTTAAAAAACATATTGGCACCCAATTATGCCTTAAAAATACACATAGAAACATTAAAATAGAAAAGAAAAAAGAAAAGAAAACGGAAAGTCTGTCCTACTCGATATGAGAACAAATCAATAGATGTAGCAAAGAGCAGTTAAAATTATGTACTTTATTTAACAAATCAACAAAAAAGGGGGGGGGAGGGAAAGGAAGAAAGAAAGCAGAGAGAAACCTACATGTATAGATAGGAATTACCAAGAAAGGTTAATACTATGCACAGTGATAGCTGATGCAACAATGTATCAGAAAAAGTGTTATTAGGAGACTTGCTGGAGTGTGGGGTTAATATTTTCCGGTTATAACCAATAATTATATTCTCTGCCGGTATTATGAAACGATCTGTCCGGAACGTGTAGAATTTAGATGGTTGATAATTGCCTCAGTTGAACGTATGATTTACCGATCAGGGTACCTATTAAATATGAGTAAAGCTGTAGGACCATTATCACGACAAGATTGTACATACAGTTACTCCTTCTAATCTACTTTACCCTTTACTATACCAGTTGCCCATGAAGGCACCTTTCTATCTATTTTCTCTTCTGTCTACAGCTCTTTGAACACTATTGCTTTATATTGCAATGACTAGCCTGTGACATTGGAGAACATTAGATGAACTAATAGTTTATTTTGGGTATATATATACATCTTTACGCACTATTAACCCATTCTTTTCCGTTTTTGCTATCTCAGTTCAGATTACAGCCTAGTGTCTAATATACACTCATTACATCTATAGATTATTCTCTGGTGACTCCCATGGATTTGTTCTGTGGGGGTTCACCTTATGAGATTACCATAGCATTTGATTATTAGTATTCTCTTTGCTTTACAGATTACAAATACATGATCATATGTTTTGAGGATATTATTATTTATTGAAATGAGCTTGTAGTTCAACGATAACTACAATCCTCTCCATTATCAATCTCTTGCATGCCTTGTCAGTTCTTATTTATACTCTGAGGACTGACAATAGGAAATAGCAAATTATTAGCATTTTTGTTGATATACTATTCTTACTCTTAATATCTGGCGGATTATAGAGGTTAATAGTTCTAATCGATTGTATTTAGAGTGCTGTATGTCTTCTTATATCTTTGCACTGTTGATACACCCTGTTGATACACCGTTGCTAAAGATTATCTGAGCCTTATGTAACAAACTTATAGTTACATTACACAGCCTCAGACACTTTTTTCTGATACATTGTTGCATCGGCTATCACTGTGCATAGTATTAACCTTTCTTGGTAATTCCTATCTGTACAGGTAGATTTCTTTCTGCTTTCTTTCTTCCTTTCCCTTCACCCCCTCCCCCTTTTTTGTTGATTTGTTAAATAAAGTACATAATTTTAACTGCTCTTTGCTACATCTATTGATTTGTTCTCATATCGAGTAGGACAGACTTTCCGTTTTCTTTTCATGAT